CAGGGTGGGGTAGTGGGCGGGGTTCTGGGAGACAGGGTGGAGTAGTGGGCGGGGTTCTGGGAGACAGGGTGGGGGAGTGGGCGGGGTTCTGGGGTGACAGGGTGGGGGAGTGGGCGGGGTTCTGGGTGACAGGGTGGGGTAGTGGGCGGGGTTCTGGGAGACAGGGTGGGGTAGTGGGCGGGCTTCTGGGAGACAGGGTGGGGTAGTGGGCGGGGTTCTGGGAGACAGGGTGGGGTAGTGGGCGGGGGGTTCTGGGAGACAGGGCGGGGTAGTGAGACACCAGCTGTTAGACCAGGCCCGCGGGACGGCGGGGAAAACAATGGTAAGCCACAGAAGAAATAAAGCGAGTAATAAAGCCTCATTGGCAGTGAAGCATCGTCAATGAGTTTCAGCCGCCTGAGAAACTCAGCAAATTGACCCATCAAGAATACTAGATTAGCCAAACTCACCCCTCGGCGCACACACCTCTTATCTTCTGAACTATCAACTGTCATCAATCACTTTAACTAACCATCATCAATCACAATCATCAATCACCATCATCCACAATTATCAGTCACCATCTGCACCCCATCCACACACCCGATCCTCATCAATTACAAGGAGCGTCACGTGGTCCCCTATTCACCGTGTTTACCTTTCTTACATACAACAACCACCCCCCCCCCCTCCTTCTCGTAAACCCTTTCTCTACCCCTTTCTCACATATATTTCCCCCTCCCAAACCCTCTCCCAATCCCTCCCAAAATTTGCTTCTCCTAAACCTAACTCACAATAACTCAAAATCATTCACAATAACTCGAAATAACTCAAAATCATTCACAATAACTCGAAATAACTCAAAAAATAAACAAACATAATAACGAAAGGCACTATAATACTAACTACTTCATCCGCATTAAAATTATTTAATATAATTGTATTAAATTTCTTTACATACATAATTTCAAAGTAAACTCAAGTAATCAGTTTTCACCTTATCCTAAAAACTACTGATGTAATAACCGCAAAAATAATTTATGTTGAAATAATTATCATATTCGAATTATTACTTTGTGCGCCGAAACAGGCACACTAATACGCCACAATATCTGGGCAAAAACTTATAAATCCCACACTTAAAAAAGTCAATATAATCACACTAAAAAATTACTGTCTTTTAGTCTCCATTGAATCCAATGATTACATTTACTAAATCCGCATTATAATCTCTATAAAAACAGAGGTGTGTATATTTATTGACATAGTGTAACCAAGATGGATTGTGCGAACAGAGCGATATAGTACCCCAGATGGGGGAAAAGAATTATTGAATTTGTGTGTGTGTTTGGCTGTTGTGTGTGTGTGTGTGTGTGTGTTGTGTGTGTGTGTGGTGTGTGTACTCACCTATTTGTGCTTGCGGGGGTTGAGCTTTGGCTCTTTGGTCCCGCCTCAGGGACCAAAGAGCCAAAGTGTGTGGTGTGTGTGTGTGTTCACCTAGCTGTGTTGAGGGGTTGAGCTCTGCTCTTTGCGCCCGCCTCTCAACTGTCAATCAACTGTTTCTACTACTACTATTTTTTTCCCCCACACCCCACAGACACACACACACAAATACACACCAGGAAAGCAGTCCGTGACAGCTGACTAACTCCCAGGTACCCATTTACTGCTAAGTAACAGGGGCATAGGGTTGAGAAGAAACTCTGCCCATTGTTTCTCGCCGGCGCCCCGGATCGAACCCGGGACCACAGAATTACGTGTACAGCATGCTGTCCGCTTGGCCGGCCGGCTCCCTTGTGTGTGTGTGTTTTTGTTATGTGTGTGAGTACTCACCTAAATGTGCTAACTTAGAAAGAGTGCTTACAGGGGTCGACTAAGGCTCCTTGCCCCGCCATCCGAACGTCCTTAGAATAATGCATGACTCAATACTCTCTTTCATCCTATTTACCTTTAAATCTCTGCATCTATTTACTTCGACAATTTCTTTCTCGAAGGAGATCTCAATACTATTTCACGTACTGAGATCTCTTTTACTGACATCTTTGTGTCTCGTATATCTCTAGGGTTTCCATCTTACTTCCCTTCGTTCTGCAGTCCCTGGCTTTGATCTTTGCTGAATTGTATATTATGTTAATTTTCTTCATATATGTAATACGTTGTTTATACACAGAGAAGTCACAACAATGTGATACATATCAATGAGACAAAGGTGCGTGGCTGAGAGTGCTCTGATCGCTGGTTTGAGTCACCTTAGTGATCTTAATTGTTTTTCTCGTATGTCGTTGACATGCACCACTCATCTCTCCATCCCTTCCAGTGTGGCAAGGTCCAGTTTTCTTTAGTCTTATCTCATGCCCTAATCACTTCAGCTCAGTAATATGCTTCAGTGCATAACTTTGGACCTTTTCTAGCTTTGCCTTGTTCTTCATCAGGGGGATTTATATAAGGAACGGATTTCAAAAGTAGGTGTCACATTGAATATATTCAGGGCCTGGAAAGCTTTTTTTTTTTAATTTTTGAAAAATAGGTGGCCATCATTCTGTTAGTGTGTGCTTTCTGGCATCAGATTTGAGAAGCGTGTATACTTACAGGTTTTTATTCTTTTCTGATGAAAAGAAAAGAAGAAAACTTTCCATATCTGTTCCAATGTTTCACATCTCTGCATTTGTCTGGGTTAAATTCCAGCAGCCATTTTTTTGTTATGCCAATTTTTGGAGTGAGTCCAGATCCGTTGGCAAGGTATTACAAGCTCTCTCTGTTCCTATTCTTCCTCATTAGTTTTACAGTGTGTGTGTGTGTGTGTGTGTATGTGTGTATGTGTGTGTGTGTGTGTGTGTGTGTGTGTGGGTGTGTGTGTGTGTGTGTGTGTGTGGCTCGACCCTATTCATACCACACATGGCCGACCAAGCGGAGCCGTGAGACTGGTTACCACCTTCTCCTTCTTTTGTTTCATCTATTTAACTTTTCCGCTTCTTTCTTCTTCCCTGTCTATATCCTTCGTAACATTAGTTAAATAAATTTTTCCCCCCTATTCCCCTTCCTCTACCTTCAGCTGTTCCTTATCCTTGAATTAATTCTTTGTCTTCTTCCATACATTTTAAATATTTTGTCTTAATTTTAATTTGTTATTATTTCACCTTTCCTCGTCCATCATATTTTATCTTCCTTCTTTCTTTCCTTCGGCCGTCAGATAAATTATGAGTAAACACGTTCTGGTATATTTCCTCCGCGCTTTCTTGAGAATCTGTTTTCTGCCTGATTTTTTTATTTGGGATTTTCTAATTTTTATAGCTTTTTTCACTTTTTGTTAATTTGGGATTTTTAATTTTGTTGTATTTTAGTTATTCAGAAATGTTTACTTTTTTGGGGGGTGGTGGAGTCTCTTCTGCTTTCTCATTTAAAACTTCCAATTTTTCCTCTTATTGATTCAACCTTGAAAATAAGAATCTATTTTCGTTTACCCATGGTTACTACTTTCCCTATGGTTCCTATTTGCCCTATGGATCCTATTTTCCCTATTTCATCTATTTTCCCAATGATTTCTATTTTCGGGTCGTTTTTCTATACCAAGCTTTCCAATTTATCTTTCTTTCTTGATCTAATTGCCTTCTATGATTTTTCATTCCACGTTTCCTTTTCCCGCTGGTTTTCTTTCCCCCCCTCCCCCCTCCTCCTTTTCCCCCTTCCCTTTTCCCCCTCCCTTTCCCCCTCTCCTTGCCCCCTTCCCTTCCCCCCTCCCTTTCCCCCCCTCCCTTTGATTTCATTATATCTATCTCACTGCTGATCCATTCTTGTTGGTTTTCACGGTTCTCTGATTCTTTCTTCACTTCCTTCTAGTTGCGCGGAGAGGACAAAAAAAAAAAGGCAATCACGCAGGCTTGCAGGAGGTCTTCGGGAAGGATTCGAGATAGATAAGAGAGAGAGAGAGAGAGAGAGAGAGAGAGAGAAGAGAGAGGAGATAGAGAGAGAGAGAGAGAGAGAGAGATAGAGAGAGAGAGAGAGAGAGGTATTACGCTCCCTTCTGCTCTCGAAGGTAAGGATGGGGGGGGAGGATATGCATGATTTAGTCTTAACAAAAATGAATATAAATGATGTAGAATTGTGATTAATGTTTAGATATTATTACATTTAACCTCAGCCCAGGTTTCAACACTGTTGTGCATAAAAAATTACTTATAATAAAGCAGAAAGCCTATATAGAGTAAGAAGCAAAACATAACGAGGATAAGGACATGTTTACCACATAGAAAATAGAGTCTAAGCATAAGTAGAATGGAATCCTATTGCGGAAGTTCATACATTTTTCCATAATGACCTCGCGGTCCTGTTGTTGAGACCTCTATTGTTTTATTTAGGGCCTCTATATGACGCTTCATTAACCAAGATTATACACTCAGTTGACCAGACCACACACTGAATGTGAAGGGACGACGACGTTTTCGGTCCGTCCTGGACCATTCTCAAGTCGATTGCAGCCGTGTTTGTATACACTCAAATACAGACTCAGCAACTGCAAGACCTCACGATGAATGAAAACTTGAATTAAAGTGCAGATCCGGCATATTCGAATTAAATTTTTATTAATAAACTAATCGAGAGATGTAAATCCATTTAAAAAAAAATTGTGTGTATTGAGCATTGTTGATCCAAATCCAAGATAACAGGAAATATACCACGATATAAGGCCCAAAAGGACACGCTGCATATTTAGAAAAAATAGGAATGTTAATCGTTTGTTGGGGACAGGAAGCCTGTGAAATATATCATTTATGAGTGTATCGACGGCCCCCCCCCCCCATCCCACACCTCACCCACTCAGCCAAGGATTCACAACAGCTTTCTAATTTCCGGATAACATTTACTGCTAGGTGAACAGCGGCATTAGGCGAAAAGAAACATGACCAACCATTTCTGCCTGCCCAGAAATCGAACCTGAAAACCACGTTTGTGAATTGAAAACGAAGCCAACTGTATCTTCGAGACCCAAATATTGACTTTCGCGTCCCCCCCCCCCTTTGTACTGATGTAACTTGTGAGGAAGCACCGTACTTCTTGATCACCGTACCACTGGTCACCGTACCACTGGTCACCGTACCACTGGTCACCGTACCACTGGTCACCGTACCGGTCACCGTACCACTGGTCACCATACCACTGGTCACCGTACCACTGGTCACCGTACCACTGGTCACTGCACCACTGGTCACCGTACCACTGGTCACCGTACCCTGGTCACCGTACCACTGGTCACCGTACCACTGGTCACCATACCACTGGTCACCATACCACTGGTCACCGTACCACTGGTCACTGCACCACTGTGAGGACAAAACATCATGAAAACACGACCCGTAGAATAGCTAAGTTAATCCCAACATAACAATCATTCACAAAAATTACTCTTCTCTACGTGAGTTTTCCTCCACACAGTATTATTGTTCCTTCATCTGTCTCTCCCTTTTCTTCGCTGTTTCTTGCTCTTCTTCCCCCACTTTTTTTTTTTTACCTTCATCCTTGCTTCTGATTCTTCTCATTAATCTGTTGACTTCCACAACCCGCCCACACCTGGCCTAGCCCCTGACTCCACACCTGGTCTGGCACCTGACTCCACACCTGGCCTCGCTCCTGACTCCCACCTGGTCTAGCACCTGACTCCACACCTGGCCAAGCATCTGACTCCACACCTGGCCAAACATCTGACTCCACACCTGGTCTAGCACCGGCCACATCTTCGTCACTGTTAACAGGAGCAGATCAAACCGGCTCCAACATAAATCCTAGTGAATATATACTTATTTTCTGTTTTGGTAATAACACACCTCTCTTGTGTCTGTCCTGTCTCTCTGTCTTCTGTCTTCTTTCTCTCTTCTCTCTCTCTCTCTCTCTCTCTCTCTCTCTCTCTCTCTCTCTCTCTCTCTCTCTCCTCTCTCTCTCTCTCTCTCTCTCTCCTACTCCCAATCCTCCATTCCTTCCTACCTGTCTCCTTTTCCGAGCTTATTCTTCCTATTTCCTAACTGTTCCTACCTTGTCACCCTCCCCCCTTCCTATAAACCTTTTTTTTCTCAACCATCTTTT